TCTCTGTTCTTATCAGTGGATATGATATGACTAGCTGTCTGATGATGGACAGTGACCTGAAATTGCAAGCCAAGTAAGCCCTTTCTCTGATAAGTTGCTTATTGGTCAGGTTGTTTTATCACAGAATCATAAATGAAACAAGAAGATAACACACCTTCATAAGTCAACTTTATTATTTATTCATTTATTTTGATAAGGTCTCAGGTATTTCAAACTGGTCTTGAACTCACTATGTGACTAAACTTCTTCTGATCCTCCTGTTTCTGCCTCCAAGTGCTAGGATTACAGATGTATATCACCATCTCTGGTTCATGAAATGCTGGTGGTGATGGAACCAAGGGCTCCTTGTATTTTAGTCAAGCACTCTTCCATGGAAGCCACATCCTCAGCTCATTCAAATTTATTGAGCAAAAGTGAATAATTTCTCACAATGGTAAACTGCCATACGCCATAATAGAAATTATCAGAATCATGATACCTCATTCCAGATTGCCTGAAAAGTAACTGAACTATGTCAGCCAGTAAACATGAGTCAGCTGCTAAAACATCACAGGAAGTACATCTTCAGGTAAGGGAGATTCTGCCCTCTTTCCCCCTGATAGTAGCTTTGAGGAAGATCTAGTGGTCACTTGGGAGGACACTTTGGTGGCTTGTCTCCCAAGGGAGCATGGGAGGAGGACTTTTGAGACCTGAGAGCTGGTGTCCTAAAAAGCTGTGATTTTGCATAATTTCCAAATTCCTTAAAATCTTACCAGAACCATTTGTAGGATTTTTGGAGTAATGCATGAATTTGGTAAAAATCTCAGCTCTAAATTTTACATTAAAGAAGGAAAGGAAGAAAAGGATTACGTATTGATGAGTCTTTGCAGTTTTCTTAATGCTCTTTTAGCAAATATTATTCTCCTGACTATTCAGTACCTGGGTTATGAGAAAGTCAGGGATGAAGGGCTTAGGAAAGAATGCAGATTCTTTCATGCTCAAGAGCAATCAGCATTTCAAACATAGGAAGGTCATTCTACAACTTTCCTGTGTATCTGGAAGAGAAAGCAAATTAAATAAGGAAATAGATAAGAACCAGTGGTAATTGAAGATCAATCAGAAGTTAACCTACATTGCATCTGAAATTATAGTGCTAATTGACAGAAGGCCAGGATGAAATTTAAAAGCAGATGGCTCACCACAGATTTTCACAACTCAAATGATGTAAGAGTCAATATCCTGCCATATTTGTTTACCCCTTCAATAGCAGCAGTGATTGCGTTCAAAGACACACATGTGCAGAAGAAGAAGCTCCTTTTCTGGATTTACTGCTTGATTTTGGTGGGGGCTGCTGCTTGGGGAGGGGAGGATCTGAGCCGTGTTAGGTGCATGCATATTACCAAATATAAATTGCCAGGAAGCTTTGTGTTTAGCTGCTTTTGCACAGGAAATCTCTGTTCCCAGCAAGAAGACATTTGCAGGCTGGTTACATTCATCACTAGGAAAGGCCCTGGATTTTCTGCTGCTGTTGTGTTTGGTGGCTTGTTTTAATTAGGGTTTGGGAAATTTATCAGTTTTAGCCTACCAGGCACGGATTCAGGATTAGGGTCTTATCCCTTTCACTACCACTTAAAAAATTAATTTCTATGAAAATTCTTCAGCTGCATCAGCACTTTGATGCTGAGTTCAGTGAATTCAAAACAAAGGGTTGAGCTGGTCAACAGATACACTCAGAAAATAAACTCAAGAGAAAACACTGCTTTTGGACACTGCAGTCAAAAAGTTGACTGCATGAATAAAAGCCCGAAGTCCATCTCTATAATAGGGGTAAAGGAGTATAGAGAGTGCTAAAGGCTTCTATCTAAGCAAGAAACCTAGGATAAGACAATGCTTTGAAAGTGTCACTGTCTCAACAACCTAAAGCGCCTATGGTGCAATTTCTGTGTCCTAACAGTGAATGAATTCAGTACTCTGCAGTTGCTCACTTGAGTTTCTTCTCTCTACCCCAAGACACCAACAAAACAAAACAAGGCTGCTTGGGTCCAGTGCAGAGATTGGCCTCTTTTCTTGCTTAATGGAACCTATTATTTTGGAAGCAAATCCTTCAGTTCTTCAGAGGGCATCAAGTGGAACACTGACCTACATTCAGAAAACATGTATGACTAGAACAGAAAACAGAAGATTGGTGATATGAGGAGCAAAGGTTGTAAAAGCAAGTACTCTTAACGGATATTGTGGTTTGAACGTGAAACATTCTCATGGGTTTATGGTTTGAATGTGAAACATCCTTACAGGCTCATGCATTTGAACACTTGGTCTCCAGTTGGCCTGCTGTTTTTGAAACATTGTAGAACCTTTAGAAGGTAGAGCCTTGCTGAAGGAAGTAGAACATGAGGGGCAGGCCTTGAGGTTTTACAGCCAGGTCCTACCTACTGTTCCTTCTCTATCCTGACTGACAATGTAGTGTGACAAGCCAGCGTCCTAATATTACCTAAGCCCCACCCCTAAAGCTAAATCTTCTCTACCATGATGAAAGATTGCCTCAAACTATAAGCCAGAACACACCTTTTCTGTTAAGTTGATTTGTCAGGGTTCTTTCACCACAGCAAAAGGAAAAGAAACTAAGACACCAATTGATAAAAGAATGTCTTTCAATTATTGGACCATGAGTAACAAAATATCCCTGTTTCAAAAGGAATCATCTAACAGTCACAAGGATGTTAGGTCATATACAGAGATGGACAATTAATGGCTATTAGAAGGGCTAAAGATAGCCCAAAGTGATCTAGCTTTGGACCTGTAACATTCCAACTCTCCTAAGTAACAGAGTCCTAATCAGTCAATCAGCCTTATAGAATCATTAATACAAGTTCAGCTTTTCTTTCTGGAACTGCAGTTCACATGAAAATCACTGAGAGGATGCTTTGGCTATAAAACGCTGAGTCCTCACTCAGCCACAAGGCAACTCAAAGGTGGATGAAAGCCCAGCACCCCTCCCTTCTTCACTGTGTCTGTCTGTGTGCCTCCCTTAAAGACACAAGGATAAACTGTTCCCTTAATTTTTACTCTCAAGTCATCTTGGGTTCCTGGAACAGCAGAATGTCACAGACATGATCCTCCCATATAAGGAAAGTATACATGAGGAGGAGGCTATACCCCAGGATAGAAGAAATCATCTCTTGAAAACTGCTTTATCCCCTAAAACAGAAAGGGTTTCTTGTGATCACTTTGCAGAACTCTGAGAATTGACGGGTAGACCACGTTACTAGGGCTGCTTAACTACATAGACCTCTTATCCTTTATCCTGTTTTCCTCTATTTAAGCCTAAACTCATGGCATGCTCCACGGATGAACCCCCTATCTGTTCATCTTCCCAACATGCCAGTAGATTTGATCCCTCATCTATTTAATTAGTATATTGGGACCAGTGGCTGAACCTAGCTTGTTAGGGCTACCAGTGTTCACACTTTTGCCCTTAAAACTCTGTTCATGTAAGGAATTCATTCAGTTCTGTTCCCACAGTAAATGTCTTGGGCTTTAGCCTGCAGGAATATGGCGAGTATGCAATGGAAAATGTTGGATTAAGTTTATAGATTCTACACTCAAATAGCTCAAGAAAACCCATGCAGGCATCTTTGCTGTAGAAGTTCTCTGGCATTCTTCCAGGTCACACTGGTATTTTCTGCCTGTTACACACTGCCATCCCATTTGTTTGCACGATACCCATCACTCTCTCTACCTGGAAATCAGCTCCATGAGAATTGGGCTTTGTTTACTGTTGTTGGAGTTCGGACAATAAGACCCTCAAGCACTCACAGGTGTGAGGTAGGCTACAAAAAGGCATTTTTGCTAAATGTGTCTCTTGTCTCTATGGGAATAAGAGATAGTTTATTCTAATACAAACATGTGACCCTGATCTGAGAATAGGGATTTGAGTTGTCCTGAACAAATGACACATGTTCTACCGTATAAGAGGTTCCATGAACTTTTCATAGTCACGGAACAAAAGAAAGCCTTAAATTGAGGCATTTGCAAACACATTGGTGAGAATATCAGGTGGGCAGGTTACAATCTGATGACATCCTTAGTCTCTGCATTGTCAGAAGAAAGTCTGTTGCTTAGTTAATGGGCTTCAAAAACTTTACCTGGTAACCCCAAGGACATTAGGTCAGACACAGAGGTGGGAGTGGATGGCTAATGAGAGAAGTAAAGACAGCTCAAGATCTGCCACCTTCCAGCTCTCCACAATCATGAAGTTCTAACAGGCCAATGGGCCTTGGAGAACCCTTAAACATAAGTATGGGATTCCCTCAACCCCCTGGGAACTTCGGTTCTCAGGGATAGGGAATAAGGAGGCAAACTTCATGGTGGCTAGAGGCTAGTGGACTCCAGAGCCATATCCTGCAGGACATCAAGTAGTCACTCCAATAGGAAAGAAATCTCACACCCAAACTGAGCAGGGGCCAACACGTCAGACAGCAATGACCACAGTCTTTGCCTCACTGTAACAGTGTCTCTCTAACATTAACCTGACCAAAATGGCCATCCAACATGCATCAGCCGGGACATATCTAGAACTCCACTTAAGGAGAGCAAAGGAAGCACCCTGTTCTACACAGAGGCTGGAGTACAGGCTGGTGTGGCTCATAAAGTCACCCAGGGTCCCATGCTCAGAAGGGCTCCACACTTGGTCTAATGTTTTGCTTTGATGATGACATTCTTACTAATTTTTAAACAATGGACTGGAGACTCCTTCACCGAGCCACACAAACTATGTGAAGGGACTGGAGACTTCTTCACTGAGCCATGTGATTTGTCCTGGTGCTAAGAGGACAGATACTATAGAGGCAGCACCTGGCTCACGGGCCAGGTCAGCCACTTTGGTGGCACCATTTCGTGCTCTTTGGTGTGGGTGATAATAACCATCCATGTTTGGGAGGTTGCTACAAAGTTTAAAAGTAGTGTAAGCAAAGCACTTTGAATAGGGTCAGCAACGGAGGTGCCACAAACAACTCAGATACCTGTCTGTCATCCATCGCTGGACGTGTCCAGAAGGAGCAGCAGTTCACAATTCCTTCTCAAGTTCAGTAAGTACATAAATAGAGTTCATGGAAGTCTTCCCAAAAGAAAATAAGAATAGGTGTTTGAAATTTAGTCATTTGACTTCAGAAACCTTGACTTACGAAGTTCAAAAAGTATAGGTACAGCTGATGACAACAGGTGACAGAAACTGACCAGGGAGGGCAGGAGCCCCAAAGTGGCAGTTCTGAGGACATACTTGCTGGAGATAGGGATGCAGAAGAGAGTTCTCGTTCCCTTTCTTTGTTACCTCTTCAAAGAGCACCTCTGACTAAAGGCTAGATGAGCATGTGAGTGAGACTGAGGAGCAGCACCTGGACACCTGAAATGGACCAGCTCACCCCTCTGTACACACCTCACTTCTCACCCCACTGTCTGCCTTAAGTCCTTTAAAAAGCCCA